AGGGCCTGCATTGCCTCTTCTGGGGTACAAATTCCAGACCAGAAAAGAGAGGGTGGTTCCTGTACATACAAAATTAATTTGTTTTTCTTCTGTCTTTTTAATCTGTCTCAGGTCAATTTTATTTGTAGACCAGCTGGAAGAAACTTTGAAGGGTAGAGGACACTTTTTCCTCCCCAACAGGTGGATGGAGGAAGTGTGGACGGAGGGATGTGTGAAGGAACAGGTGTAGAGCAGGTGCGAACTACAGGGTGTTAAGAGTGAGCATAGGGGCTCTCAGTGTGCGATCCTTTTAACTGTGCTGAGTGTTTGAAAGTACAGTCCAGCGTTGGGGAAAGTTTTATAGATGTGCACTGTAACACATACACTCGGACTGCTGAATAGCTCACAAGCTAAAGAAGACATTGTAATGAGAGATTTAAAAGACCCAGAACTGCATGGTAAGGAGACAGTGCATCTGCGGAGGGGAGAGCGGTTAGGGCTGCCCCTCCGGGGAGCCAGCACAAAGCCTACATTGGGGGGGGGGGGAGGAAGCCTCAGGATTTTCAAGCTGGGCCCCCACCTCGGGAAGCCAAGCAGACGGCCCGGGGGAGGCGGCGGCTGCAAAGGGGCTTGAGGCAATTCGGGGCATGACGGGGACGTTTTAATCTGTGGGGCCAGCACTTACCCAAACGCATGCATTTGTCAAAAGTTGGAACCACATCCTGGACAGGGTGAACCATACTGTGTGTAAGCTATCCCCGATTTTGTAAATGAAATAAAAAAATGTTGGGGGGAGAAACAGAAGAAGCCCAAAGAAAGTTGAAAACCAGAGATAAAGGCATGCCTGGGTGGCTCAGTCAGTTGAGCGTCCAACTCTTGATTTTGGCTCAGGTCGTGATCCTGGGGTTGTGAGGTGGCCCCACGTCAGTCTCCGCACTAGTCAGGTTCTGCACTAAGCACGGAGTCTGCTTGGGATTCTCTCTCTTCCTTCTCCCCAGCTTGTGCAGTCTCTCTCAAAGTGTGTGTGTGTGTGTGTGTGTGTGTGAGAGAGAGAGAGAGAGAGAGAGAACCAGAGATAAAAGTAAGATTGGAGGGGTGCCTGGGTGGCTCAGGCGGTTGAGTGTCCGACTTCGGCTCAGGTCACGATCTCGTGGTTTGTGGGTTCAAGTCCGGCATGGGGCTCTGTGCTGACAGCTTGGAGCCTGAAGCCTGCTTCGGATTCTGTGTCTCCCTCTCTCTCTGCCCCTCCCCTGCCCTGTCTCTCTTAAAAATAAAAAATAAACATTAAACACATTATTTAAAAAAAGTAAGACTGGAGGTCCATGAAGTAGCGAACAAAGCTGCAATAGAGGTCAATGAAGACAAAAGTTAGTTATTTGAAAAGTCAAACAACCGATGGAAGAGGCCAGCGACAGAAGCAACCAGAAGGGTCAGAAAAGGCACCAATGAATGAGATGCAGTATTAAAAGATGATAAGCCTCAGACGGGCAGGAAGCGTCTGCAAACGTAAATCAGGTAAAGGACACGTATGCAGAATGTGTGAAGAGCTCTCAGGGCTCAACAGTGAAGAAACGACCCAATTTAAAAATGGGCCGCAGGGGCGCCTGGGTGGCGCAGTCGGTTGAGCGTCCGACTTCAGCCAGGTCACGATCTCGCAGTCCGTGAGTTCGAGCCCCGCGTCTGGCTGGAGCCTGTTTCCGATTCTGTGTCTCCCTCTCTCTCTGCCCCTCCCCCGTTCATGCTCTGTCTCTCTCTGTCCCAAAAATAAATAAACGTTGAAAAAAAAATTTAAAAAAAATAAAAAATAAAAAATAAAAATGGGCCACAGACGTGAGCGCGGTGCCGAGGAAGGTGCGCGGCAGGAAGGAGGCCGAGAGCACAGGAGCCGTTCCCCATCGCGGGTCATTAGGCAAATGCAAATGAAAGCCACTGAGCGGTCCCAGGGCCGCCAGCTAGGACCTAGGACGCCCCCGCGCACAGTGGCTGCCGCGAGGGCTGAAGATGTGCGGGGCTGTGGGTGGTGCAGCCGCCGTGGTCCCCGTGGGACGACTCCGGAGCCCCGTGCCCAGCGCTCGCTCGAGAGAAATGAAAACTCACGACCACGCATCCTCTACAGCAGCTTCCTCTATAACCACGAAAGACGGGAAAAACCACGGGCAAATGGATAACACACTGGTCCGTCCATGAGATAAATGCCATCCAGGCCCGAGAAGGAGGGGGCTACTCACCTGCAAACCACGGGACGGATCTTCACGCGTTTTCGGTGGGAAACACGCCGGATTCACAGGCTGTACAATTCTGTTCGTGATGTTCTGGAAAAGGCAGGAGCAGAGAGAGGGGGAAATAGACCAGCGGTTGCCAGGGGTTGGGAGCGGGGGGTAAGCACCGACCCACAAGGGGCTGCAGGCCAAGGGGGTTTGGGGGTGCCCCTGTTCCGTGTGGTTCCCCTGTGGCGGGGACACAGCAGTGTGCCTCTCTTAAGACCCGTGGGACCGAATACCGGTGTGACTTCTACTGTTCGTAAATTAAACATTTTTTAAATGCAAAAAAAAAAAAAAAAATCAATTCCAAAAAAGGGTGAACAGGAGAATACTGTAAACAGGCGTACGTCAGCATTTCTGGAAACATAGATGAGACAGACAAATTATTAGAAAAATAGAGAGAAAAAGCTTGACTAGTCCTATGGTCAGCAGGTCCATGGAAGCGATGGTTCAAAGTCGTCCGTGTGGACGCTTGGGTCTGGCAAGTGCGGACGTGGAGGTGGCAGAGAGCGTCGCAGCACAGCAGCCCCGAAGCCAGCGCGGGGCCAGCGGTCCTGCCCGCGTGTGACGGGTCACACTCTGCTCCCGCAGGCAGAAGAGCCAGGGAGATCCTCGCCCCCGCTGTGGCCGCAGCCTGGACGGAGACCTTTTCCCCTGTCCCCACCCCACCCCCCACCACACTGACCGGGCTCTGAGGTGCGGCCGGGGCCGCGGACAATGTGCCATCACCTCTGCCGCCGGAAAGCCCCGGGGCTGGACGGCGGGGGGACCCCGAGGCACCCAGGGTGGCCTGCAACCTCCAGCAAGAAAGGAACATTTTCAGTGGCGCTGGGGCGGCTTCTCGCGGGTTGAGGCCGGGATGTTAGTTTGCCGAGCGGGGGTCACACAGGTAAAGCAGGACGAGGGGGCTCTCCGTGCCGACACAAGCCGCGTGGGCGTCCCAGCGAACCGACCCGAAAGGCATCCAACCTGGCAGGAGGAAGGAAGACTGTTTGCCGATGACGGGATCCCGCGTGTAGAAAACCCTCCAGGAGTCACGAGAAGCCTGTTCCAACAAGCGCAGCCGGCGAAGGAGCCCGACGCAAAGGCGGCGCGGGGGTCCCACTGCGTTTCCGGCCCTCGTGGCGAACTCCCGGAAGGGAAGTTGCGAAATCAATTTCCTCTTCGATAACATCAAAAAGAATGAAATACTTAGGAGTTAAGGTATCCAAGGAGACCACAGATTTGCACAGTGGAAAGAAATTATGGACGACGTGAGCATGTCCCAAGTTCACGGACTGGGAAATGCCCGTGGAGTCTCGAGGGACCCCCAGTGGCGGAAAAAATTGACAGGGAGGGGGGGCAGGCCCGGGAGCAGACAGGTGAGGCTGGAGGCCAGCCTCCCAGCTCGCAGCCCCCAGCCCTGCTTCTGGGCTCAGGGGCTCCAGACGTCCCCCTCCCCCGGGGGCTGCTGAGGGCTTCGCAGGTGACCCCTCACCCCCCCCCCCCCCCCGGGGCCCCCCCCCCCCCCCCCCCCCCCCCGAGGAGCCGGTTCCTGCACACGTGATGGTGTGCAGGTGGGTGTGTGGTGTGTTTGTGTGTGCACACGTGTGCAGCCACGCATGCGTGTGAAGGTGAGCAAGGCCTGGTCTCCGGGTGGGTGCTGGCGGGGCTGGTGTGGAAGGCTTCACCGAGGCCTCGTCCCCCTCCCCGCTGGGCGGCAGGTGAGGGGCAGGAAGTGGACACGGCGCCTGCCTCTGGCCTGGATTTTCTATGAGGGGGAGAAGCGGCCCCTGCTGCCCCCGGGGAGCCCGTCAGAGCTTCACGCCTTCCCCCCGCCCCCCCCCCAGCATAACCTCTGCCGTGGGCCAGCTGCACCCCTGCACCCCCGCCCTCTGGCCTGGCCCCACCTCACCACAGGCAGCTGACCTGTAGTGCCCTGAGGCCCCGGGTCTCCTCTGGGCAGCCCTCCGCGCCCCCCCCCCCCCCGCCTAGCCGTCCCCTGGGCGATGCCCAGCTCCTGCCTCCGCCTCCCCTCCTGCCCGTATCCAGTGGGTCCCGGCCCCTGCTCTCTGTCTCCTGGTGCTGGGGCCGCAGGCCTGGACGCCGCCCTCTGGCTCTGCCCTCGCCCTGACGAGGCAGGGCAGCGTGTGACGGAGCGCTCGGCCCCTCACAGAAAGGATCTACTCGCCACCACACCCCCCCCCTCCCCGGGAGACCCTGCAGGCCCAGGGGGCACTCACCCCTCCCAGCCTCACTGTCCCTGTCCCTCTGCCCTGATGCCCTTCCAGGCTCCAAGTCCTTCTGCAATGCTTCTGGTCACACTCCCGGGGTGGCCACAGCGGCCTCTCTCTGGCGCCCGCTGACGTGAGGGGGCCCCCTCCGTGGGCTGTGGGCTCCCGGAGGACCCGCCTGGTCTCCAGAAGCTGCGCAGGGTGGTGCACAGGGCAGGGGCTCTGTAAGCACCCCGGCCTGGCATCCTGGGCCCCCTCCCCGCCATCCCATCCCCCCAAGCTGGGCGTTACCAGACTGCTGAGACCTGAGGCTGGCTAGAGGCCCTGCAGAGGAAACCAAATTGCTTCCTGTGTGAGTCGTAGTGCCAGATGTCAGCAGTGTGTTTGCAGGGGCTGCTCTCTAGGAGGTGTCAGCCAGCTGCAGGGGTGGGGGGGTGGGGGGGTGGCTAGCCGCAGCCCCCACCCCACCCCACCCCTGGCATTCCCCGTCCGAGGGCACTTCTGCTTTTCTCTGTATTGCAGAGGGTGCAGGCGGGAGGAAGGCCCTGGGTCCCAGATGCCACGGGCCGGGGGGGGGGGGGGGGGGAGACGGGAAGGCAGGAAGGTGGGGGAGGGGGGTGGCTGGGGACAGGGTCTCATCCAGGCTCCCAGGCAAGCCGCCCTGGCTGGGGGGGGGGGGGGGAGGGCGGGTGGTTCGGCGGGGGGCGGCGCTGAGGGCCAGGGGCCTCCTCTCTGCAGCAGGCGGCCTGTGTGCCCGGCCCGCTCTCCTCATGGGGACGTGGGCAGAGCGATTCCCAGCCCTCCCCTGGTGCCCACAGGCCGGCAGGCTCTCTGGAAGCACCGTCACTGCCAACGTTTGGGGCCAGGTAATTCTTTGTGGTGGGGGAGGGGTGTTCTGTGCATTAGGGGATGTGCAGCGTCACCCGTGGCCCCCCGGCCCCAGACGTTAGGAGCGTCCCGCCTCAGTTGTGAAACCAAGAATGTCCCCTTGGGTGAGACATCGTCCTGCCTGGGGACCACCGGGGAGGCCCTGGCCTGGACGTGCTGCAAGGGGGAGATGGTGGCCGGGGGGCTCCGGAGGCCGGAGGAACCCGGTGGGAACAACCAGGTTTTCGTCTCCCGTCTGGGGCCGACCTCGGCAGTGTGGGGACTGGAGGAACGAGTCGGAAAAGAAGGCGGACACTGACGCACGGTGCTCCGTGAGCCTCACCACCTGGCCGCCTGGACAGCGCTTCCTGAAGTGGCCAGGGGAGGGACAGCAGGCGGGGGCCTCCTGGTGCGTCGGGGGGACTCTCAGGTCCTTTTGTGTCCCGGGGCGGCGCGGCGCCCTCCGGCACAGTCCTCCCTGAACGGCCTGGTTCTGCACCTTCACGCGCAGCTCGCGGGTGCGCCGGTCACCTCTGTCCCGCCAAGCGGGTGGCCGTCCTGCAGCAAGGGCCCACGGTCGCCTGCCGTGCCCCGGCCCCGACAGCACCCAGGACGTGAAGACCTCCGCTTTCTTCTGATGCTTATTGTTCTGTTCGCCACTTGGTCCGCGACCCCCTGGAACAGGTTTTCTTGGGCGCAAGGGACCCTTTGTGGTGCCCCAAACGCCCCATAATCCGAGGGTGGGCGTCCTCCTCCGCCCACCCGGCAGCAGCTCTGACGTCAGGAGGCCGCACCCACGCGTAATCTTTTGAGACTGGTTCCCTCTGACGGGGAGGACGCTCAGGGCACGGTGGGCTCGGGGGCACCAAAGTGGATGGGGTGCCGGCCCGCGGCCCGTGGGGCTCGCGGACTGAAGAGACAGGCGGACAGACGGGGCCGACGGCTGGTCACAAGAGCAGGGTCCGGTGTGGCTGTGACCCCCTCTGCAGGGCTCCGGGATCCTCTGCGTCCCCAGCAGGTAGAGGCGACACTGTGTGCACCCCCAAAATATCACCCGAAGTGACACTTGATACTTCCTGCTGAATAGCTGGTGGCCCGCGGAGACTCCGGGCTGCCCACCGAGGCTATTCGGCATCACGACCTCCCCCCGGAAGGGCGGACCTCTGTCGGTGCGCGCAGAGGCCAGGAGCCACGCCCATCCTGCTTCCGGAGGCGGGACCGCGGAGGGGTCGCGGGGGCCTCCCCTCGTCCATCACGCCCCGGGGGCCTCCCCCGGACACCCCTCTCCCCAGCTCGTCTGGTCCCTAGGCTCCTCCGTGCTTTTCCCAGCTCGACCCCTTCTGGTCCACTTTCATCCCAGGGCCTGCCGAGTGCACACCCCCCGACCCTGCCGGGTCGAAGAGAAGCTGGTGACCGCGTGTGCCCGAGGCAGCGTCTGTCCCCCTCTCTCTTAGGCATCGGCAGACACAGCAGAGATCACGCCTTCCAGTCTCCCCTGCAGCCAGGCGTGGCCACAGCACCGCATTCCCCAGGACGCAGGGCTGGAAGGACTGGGCCGGAAGTCTGGGACGCCTCCTTACAGGCGGGGGGCTCCACCATCCTCCGCTGTCCTCCTTCCTGATGCCTGAAATACAGCTGTGAAGGCCGGAGCTCAAGCAGCCACCTTTGACCACGAGATCAGGCACCAGCTTCCCAAGGCTGTGGACGCTTCCGTGTCAGCTCCGAGAGAGAAGACCCCTGTGTGTTGAGTGTGTTCATCCGTGGGGGTGGGGGCAGGCTGTCCTGGGCTGAAGGAGGGTTCATGGTTCACACTCAGCGTGTGGCCCGGTGGCAACGAGGGTTTCAAAATCACTGAGCTCTTGAGATGGCCCCTCTCGGAAGCCCCGTTGCTCCCCCGCCTCCTCCCTCTCAGGGCCACTCTCTTCAGAGCCGCGTCTGAGGGAACTCCTGTCCTTTTAGGAGGAAGCCCCCGCAGCCCCCTGCCTTCCCCTCCTCCATCACGACGGCCGAAGGCGGCAGAGCCACAGGAGGGTGGGGAGACGCGAGGAGTCAGGGAGGCTGGAAGGACCATTCGGAGCAGCAGAAACTGAGCATCCCAGCAAACAGGACCAGGCCACCGCGGACAGACCGACGCCCACGACAAGGGAGGGTTTGTGCCAGGCACGTGGCGTGGGCAACCGACGGAGCAAGTGCACCTCGAGGGCAGGTCTAGGGAGACAAACCGTAAGATCAACCCCACAGAGGCAGCGTGGGCAACTGCTCAGATTTGGGGCAAGTTTGGCATCTTTCAGAACGATGACCGTGCCTCACGGAGACACGCTGGAGATCCGGAGACCCGTGAGCCTCATCCCCCAGGCCCCGGCAGCCGGCGGGCGACAGCAGCCCAGCGTTTTTCGACACGGGAATGGACACGCGGGGTGCGGTCCACCCGCACGCTGGGCGTCCCGACACCTGCTCCGGCACAGGTGAGCCCTGAGGACGCTACGCCGAGTGACACACACCCGTCTGTCTGAGCCTGTCTGAGGGGGACAAAGCCTGTCTGAGCCACAAATAGAAGGTCCCCAGACTGGCTAGCTTCGTGGACACGGACAGCAGAGTGATGCCGGCCGGGGAAGGGCTGTTTGTGTTTCACGGGGACAGGGCTTCAGCCTGGGACCTTGGACGTGTCCTGGAGGCGGTGGTGGCAGTGGCCAGTGTCGATGTACTTAATGCCACTGAGGCATACACGGAGAAGCGGTCGGAACTGTAGGTTTTGTGATACCTAGGATTTCCCACATTCGAACAGACCGATGAGTCCTTGATGAGAGAGAGAGAGACTCTGAGTGCTCAGCCACCTCTGGAGAGCTTCCCAGAGGAACATGCTGGGTGACGGTGCCTCCCACACACGCTGGCCAGCGGATGCGCGTGGAAGCATCACGGAAGTGCAAAATCGGCACTTAGCGAAGCAGGTGAAGTGTTGCCTTGGCGGGACTCCGAGTGACGCTAAGGCTCCCAGGGTGAGTGAGGAGGGGAGGGGAGGTGGTGAGGAGGGGAGGGGAGGCGGTGAGCCTCTTGTGTTACCACACGCTCTCCAGAGGTGCGACCGCCAGAAACGCCAAACTGCCCCAAACCAGGCGGGAGAACCCCCCTTCCTAGTTTGGGAAACAGGTGAGAGAAGAACACGTTAAATGACACCTGAAGGACCCAACCGAGCAGATCCAACGGGTCGGGTCACTTTAAACTGTCGACCCTATGGGCGGCTGGGGGTGGAGGGGCCCAGCAGACACAGGCGGGGGTGCTCCACCCTCGATCGGACCCTGGCTCGAGGGACCCGCTGTCAGACCACGTGGGGCAACCGGGGAGGCACAGAGCGCGGGTGAGAGGCGGGGTGGCCGCGTGCGCCGGCGGGGGGGGGGGGGGGCCGGAGGTGGACGCGCCAGTGTCCCGGGGGCTGAGTCGGGGGCCTGCGTTCCACTCAGACACGTGGACGCTTCTAGACGAAGCCCGTCCGAGGTCTTCACATCTGTTGAATCCAGCTGGTGGTTCCTCGAGGGCTCGTCAGCCTGCCTCCTTTTCGTTATAAAGACTTTAGGACCCAGGAGGAGAATAGACACCCTTGAGCCCCTCGGCTGGGGGTGCAGACCGCCCTGGGCAGACACCCCGAGAGCCGGAGCAGGTGGGAGAGAGCCGTCCCGCCCACCCTTCCCTACCTTCTGAGATTCAGTCTGAGACAATAGGACCTACTCGAAATGGTGAACGACTTCTGCTTATGGTGAGATGGTGTGAACGAGGTGGCCCCGATGCGATGCGTGCAGAGTCCTTCCGGGTTCCGTGGGGGACCTTCCCAGCAGGAGTCAGGAGCCAGTGACCCCTGGGGGCACTGTCAGGTGGCTACGGCCCCCTTCCCCCCACCTGGAAGGCAGTCGGCCCTCGGGAATAGGCCCCCAGCCCCTCGGCCAGGTGAGCTCACCCCTGCTTCTCGGCAGCCCCGTACTCCGCTGAGACCTTCGTCCCACACACGCACGCCCTTCGCTGGGCCGGAGTCCGTGCCCCGGAAGAGGCCCTACTAACGGTGGGGGTGGAGGGCTCAGCGGACCTAACTTGAACCAGCCGCCGTCCCCGACCCGGCCACCAAGGCACAGAGCCGACGGTGGTGCAGGTTGGAGCTGTGTCAGACCTGAACCCATCAGCGGGGCCTCAGGGGAGCCCCAGAAGACACGGACCCGTCCGCGGAGGCCCGGCCCGGACCCCGCCATCCCCGGTACACCCGGCCTGATGGGGGCTGTGGCCCTGCTGAGGCCCGACCTCCCAGGCCACCCTGAGCCGAGACCCGGGAGGCGCGTGGTGCTCGTGGGCAGTGGCCAGGCCCCAGGCGGGTGTTTCCGGGAGGCTGAGGTGCGCCCTGCACCCAGACCTGTGCGGACTCCAGGCCCAGCGTTCTAGATACTCGGCAGCCACTCGCGCCGAATCGCTGTTCGGGCCGGGTCTGAGCGGACCCCTGCCCAGAGCCACGAGAGCCTGCAGGGTGGCAGGCTGAGCCCCGAGAGTCCCTTAGAGAAAGGGCGGCCTGCGGGGCACCCCCCACAGCGACCCTCCCGGCCCCGAACACGCCTGGGGGTGCGGCTGCCTTAGATCCGCCCCCACGTACTGTCCCTGCTGCAGGGCCGGGCACGGCCACCCGAGAAGTGCGGGGGGCCCATCCCTGCGCCCCCCTGGACTGACAGAGTCAGGACCGGGTCAGGCCTTGGCAGTGGGGGAAGGCAGCGGATCACCTGCAGCCCCCTAGCGTTTCCCGAGGAAAGTGGGGTGGGGGTTTGGATTGCGGGTGCCTCAGCCTGGGGTCCTGTAAGCCGGACGGGGGACCGGCAGCTGGGCCCGCCAGGGCGGGGCAGCGCCTCGGTGCAGGACGCTGTGTCCCAGGGAACCCGTGTGGCCCCTCACAGAGAATCCCACCGGCGAAGTCCGCTGCGCCCAGCCGGGATGAACTCTGGGGCCAGACTCAGAGCCGAGGACAGGGCGCGCAGGCCCCTTCCTTCCAGTGGGAGCCCCGCCCCGGGCAAGGGAAGTGAGGAGGGAGGTCACCCCGTGAACCACCGCCAGGGGAGGGCGCACCGGGGGCCAGGGCAGGAGCCGTGTGTCTGGGTCGGCCGCGCGCCAGCGGTCGCTCCCGCTGCTCCCGCCTGTGGGCCGAGCCAGCTGGGAAGGTCCTGAGCGAATGCGGAGCGTGTGGCCTGTGTCTGAGGTTGTCACCGCCACGAGCCACAAGGAGAAGTAGGTGTGGGCTGCTTCCCTGCATCTGCCTCCAGGAGAGTTCAAGGCGCCAGGCGGATGACGGACGCCCCAACCCCGCCAGCCATCCTGGGCCCGCCCGTTTGCGGTTAGGAGGGTTTGAGAGAGATCTCTGGACCCCTGCTACTTCCTGAAAGTTCACAGCTGAGCATGAGGTCTGCCTCCCTGAGTAAGTCGTGGGCTCCATGTGCTGGGGAGCGGTCGGCAGGGGGGCGCCCGGACAGGTGGGGGGCTGGGGTGATTTGTTGGCACAAAGGTGGGGGCTTGGTCGAGGGTCTTAACCTGGGGTCCTTCGCTCGGCCTCTTCCGAGTTCTCGCGGTGGTCGCTGCTCCAGGGGGCCCGCGAGTCGGAGCTCAGAGGCAGGTTCCTCTCCGGGGCGGGGAGTGGCACTTCCTGGCCGCTGTGGGACCGCGGCTGATTCTCAGGGTGTTTGGTGGGTGATGTACAAAGCGCCTGGCTCCCTGGCCTCCAGGGCTGCTGGGGCCACGTGGGCATGAGGAGGACAGGCAGGACAGCGGGGTCTCTGCTGGGGCGACAGTCGGCCTGGCCGCAGGGCCTGGTCCTGGGGCCCCGTCCGGTGTGGGGCCAAGGCCAGCGGGGTGTTCCGTATCTGCCGAGAGCCGGGACGGGGAGTGAGACCCCCTATTCTCCCAAGTACGTGTGTGCCCAGGAAGGTGACAGGATGGTTTCAGGGGACCTGCCAGGAACAGGGGGGAGGCAGCCACCTGGGGCCCGCGCCCGGGCCCCCCCCCCCCCCCGGGGGGGCCGGGGGGGGGGCCCATCAAGCTTGTTGCCAAAGACATGAAATGAATTAAGACAATTCTTTTTAAGGACACTCGAACCCCAAGGTCAGGAGACCTGTGCTCTACTCACTGAGCCAGCCGCGCGGCCTCGCAAATGAATTTTGAAGACTTGCACTTAAAATCTATGCGAGGAGGGGGTGCCTGGCCGGCTCAGTCGGCGGAGTACATGACCCCTGATCTCGGGGTCGTGAGTTCGAGCCCCGCGCTGGGCTGTAGAGCCTACTCAAAAAGAGTCTATCAAAAGGGGAACAGTAGTGGCCTGGCCACCGGGCGTGGGAAACACACGTGGTCTGTGTGCCATGAGGGCCGGGGGCGCAGAAACTCCCAGCTGGGACACAGAAACGAAGTCAGGGCTGGGTGTGAGAATGTGGGGAACGTGGAAGAACCCGAAATGTCCAGCAGTGTTCGTGAAACGGCCCCAGAAACCACAGACGATCCCCGGGGCTTTCAGCAACGTGTCGGGACGGGGGCGACGGTCAGGGCGGGGTAAAGACGCTGTGTGTCCCGTGGCTGTGCCTTGGGGTCTGTTTGAAAGTCCTGTCGTCAGAGCTGAGGAATATAGTTGAGAAGCTGGGGGGACGGGCTGCCGGTGCAGCACGTGGTGGGAGATGCACTCGTTCAGCGGGTTGTGTTTGAACAGCGGCCGGTGAGGGCGCTCGCTGGGAGCGGAGCCGGGGGACCAGAAGGAGCCGCGAGGGGACTGGAGCCAGCTGTCACCGGAGCCCTGGCCGGGCTGGGGGGAGGTGGGGCCTGTGGGCCCCTGGGGATGTGGAGGCGCAGGGTCATGCCCGGGGCTGTGTGGCTGTCGTAGCTCCCCGAGAGAATAGACCGAGGACAGAGACCCCCCCACCCCAGGCCTCCAGGCCCAGGCTGGCATTCCAGGCATGGCGGGCTTGTCCCTTCCCTGCGTCCCCGGGCTGGGAGCAGCCAGCTGGGTGAGGCCTGGCACCTGCAGCGGGCCGTCCCGCGGGATGTGTCACTCCGCCTGCCCCACAGCTGACACCCGCCTCTGTGGGTCCCCACGGCCGCCCGCACACGCGGTGGCTCTCGGAAAGAACTGGCCACCGTGCGTGACCACGAGCTGCTGTGGAGGGACACGGGGAGCCACCCCCGCCGCTCTTGGCGCCCCCACCTAACATCCAGCCCCGCGGGACGGCCAGGGTGCGCTGCGGCGGGTGGGGTGGGGACGCCGAGAGGGCACGGCCACTGCCACCCTGGCCGTGCCGGGTGCCGCGGCCAGCGCCCCCAACCCCCACGCAGGCCTGGGCTGCCCCGTGTCCCGGCCACCGGGATGATGCAGGGACCCGCCGAGGTTGGGCGGGAGCAAGGCGCTGGCCGGGGGCGGGCCGCACTGCCGGTGCCTGACGGTCAGGGAGGTGGCCCGGACCTGGACACGAGCACCGGGCCCCCACGGGCCGCGTGAGCACGCTGCCCCAGGACCCCCCTCGCCCCGCACCGGTCTGCTCTCCACACGGCCCCCGCAGGCCTCAGCTCAGAGGAGCGCGCTGTTTTGCTCGGGCACCACTTCCTCCGGCGTTTGCAGAAGCGGCTGCGAGAGACCCCACCCCTCCCCGCTCCTGTGTGCGCGGGGGAGACCGGGCAGTGCGGCCCCCCGGGGACGGGCTCAGCCTCACAGCTTCCAGAATACTCGAGAGTTAGCGTGAGGGCGGCCGGGCCCGGAGCCCCTGCAGCAGGCAGCTCACCGTCGTGACGGAGGAACTCGGGCCCCGGGCTGAGGCTGGTGGCACCCACGCTCCCGGGGCTGCAGGATGTCCTGACGGCTTCCGGGTGGCCTGGCGTCCCCGCAGCTCCTCCTTTGGGGGCCCCCCTTAGTCGGGCCCACCCCCTCACCCCTGGCCGGCCGGGGCTCCGTGCTGGGGGGTGGCGCCACGCGGGCCCTGCTGGGTCACAGCCGGGAACGCCTTAGACCATCTCCTGCGGGGGCAGGGCCTTCTAGAACAGGCCACAGACCTGTCAGGGAACTCCCGGGGGCTGCCCCCCTTGTCGGCCCTTCCCAACTGGTAGGGGGCTGACCCGAGACCCGGGGGCGGGATGGGCAAGGCCCAGCGGCGGCCCTCCGGGCCCACGCCTGCCAGCGTGTCTGGGAACGTGGGCTCAGAAGGTCAACGTCACTTGGGAAACAACTTTCTAGACTCACCTTGTTGACTTCCAGGAGCTACTTTCTGTAGCTTCAGGCAAACCCTGGCTTCCTGTGACCTCTGACTGCTGGAAACACGCCGCCAAGGGGGGCCGGGCGGGTAATCTGCGCTCTTAGGGTGCACCTCCCCTGCCCAGGCAGCTTCGGGCGGGACTGGGGCCAGCACAGCAGCCCCTCTGGGCCCAGCCTCTGCCCCTGCAGGACAGAGAGGCCCATGGGCCTGCCTCACGGAGCACAGCAGGAGCCCAGGGCCCCTTGGGGCTCCGGGCGTGCTCTGCACACTGTGGGAGCGTGGGTTTAGGGCGCTCGCCTTCTCCCAGACCCTCTCTGGCGGATAAGGGCGCCTCTGGTGAGGGAAGGAAGTATCGAGATAGGGTGCCGTGGACGCTGTCCCCCACCTGCCAGGGCCCTGCTGTAGCTCAGGCCCCTACAGGCATGGTGGGCGCTCTCCCGGGGGTCCTGGTCCTTTCCGTAGGGGGGAGGTGCCGTGACATGCCTGCAAGTCACACGCACTTCACATTTTGGGTCATCGTTTCGCCAGGGGAAATTCCTAGAAAGGATTTTACATGATCAAAAGTTAAGTGCGCCCCAGACTTTTGGAAGCATGCTGCACAATCGGGCCCAAAACATTCATGCCGGTTTACGCTCCCATCAACGCAGTAAAGACACCCGCTTCCTCACACTTTGGCCAACACTGAGAATTAGAGTCCTTTGTTTTTGTCAGCCTGATAAGCAAGAAAAGACTGCCCTTCTGACGTTGATGTTCGCATTTCTTTGATTATAAGTAGAGTCGAGCACTTTTTGGGTTTTTAGGAGCTGTTTATTACGTCTTTTGCAAAGTATCTGCTCATGGGTTCCGAAACTTCTTATATTCATTCATTTTTTATTGTATTTTTTGATGTTTGTTTACTTTTGAGAGAGACAGAGACAGAAGGCGAGTGGGTTGGGGCAGAGACAGAGGGAGGCACAGAACCTGAAGCAGGCTCCAGGCTCCGAGCTGTCAGCACAGAGCCTGATGCGGGGCTCGAACTCACGAGCTGTGAGATCATGACCTCAGCCGAAGTCGGACGCTCAACCGACTGAGCCACCCAGGTGCCCCAAAACTTCCCATATTTATTGATTTGTAGATGTTCTTTGTATATTGAGGATCTGCTGTTATATCTATATATATCCAAACATATCTATATATCATATATAGATATATCTATATATCATGTGTATCATATATATCATGTATCTATATATATCCTATATATCATATATATATCCTATATATCATATATAGTTATATCTATATATCAAAATACAAGACTTGACACATAACAAATGCTCGCTAAGGGTTGAGTCATCTGTTGAATGACTTAATTTCTGATCTAATCTGATTTTCCTAAAGCCATTCCGTCCTACTCTTTGTCCAGGTCACTTTGAGCTCTTGGAGCAAACTGCTCAGTAGGATCAAGAAAACACATGACATGTACTAGAAACCGGAGTGCATGCTAGAGCCTCTCTGAGATCGGAGCAACTCAAGTATGCCAGGTGAGCCCCCTTCACGTCTCCGTCGACTTTAACCACTTAGGAGGGACTGCAAGAATTTTTCTAGAATGCACGTCACCTCAACATGGGAGTAATTACTTCAAAACTTAGCGTGAAAAATAGCCTTGTCTAAAAAAAAAACCGTCTCCGAAACAATAAAGGTGTAGGCTCTCCATCAAGACACAGGGAAGCATCTGTTTCTTTGCTCTCGAGGTGCTAGGAAACACCGGGAACAGGACAGCGAGGGACCGGGGTCTCCTATCATGCCCATCTCTGGCCAAGTGCCGAGCCCCAGAGCTGTCACCTGTCACCTGTCTCCCGCCCTTTTCCCAGGGGGTCGGGGCCCTCGTGTGTGCCTGCGGTGGGGGGGGGGGGGCAATTGACAAGTGGGCCCGACAGCGCCCAGGCCCCCGTGCCTCGGACCCTCGCCGGTAAATGGGGATGGCTGTGCCTGTCCCGGGGAGGGGGCGGGGAAGCCACCTCACACCCATTAGGACCATTAGGACGGCAACCCTCACAAAACAAAACACCAAAGTGTTGGCGAGGACGCGGAGAGACCGGGTCCCCGTGCACCGTCGGTGGGAACGTTAAGCTGGCGCGGCCGCTACGGGAAACAGCCCAGCGGTTCCTCACAAAGTCAAAAACAGAACTGCCGTGTGATGAGCAATCCCACTACGGGTATTTACCCGAAAGAAGTGAAAGCCGGGTGTCGAAGTGACGTTTGCACGCCCGAGTTCTCGGCAGCATGCGTCCGAAAGGGGGGGGGAGTGGAAACGACCCGGGCCTCCATCGACGGAGGACTGCGTGAACGCACGCGGCCCAGCCTTAGCGCCGAAGGACGTTCGGACACTGGTGGCGGCAGGGACGGGCCTTGAGGACCTGAAGCCAAGTGAGGGAAGCCAGACGTAGAAACACAAATCCTGTGTGACCCCACTCCTGCGGGGGCCTGGGGGGGTCGACTCCCAGGGACTGAGCAGAACAGGGCGTGGGCGCTGCGGGAGCTGAGGGGACTTCGGGTTTAACTTCCGGTTTAACGGGGACAGTGTGGCAGTGTTGCAAGCGTCCCCAGCGTCTCCTGAGGAACTGAAAGGCAGGGGCCAGGGGCAAAGGCTCTGGTAAGCGTGTGTCACCAGGAAGGACACAGACGTTCGTTTCTGTGACAGGTCCCAGAGGAGGCGGGGGAGGGAGGACGGGGCCCAGGGTGGCCCCGGGCGCAGGTCGGGCGGTCAGAGGGGGCCCAGGAGAGCAGGCTGGGCAGGAGAGGGAGGTGCCCGGGACGCGGCAGATTCCTTCCCCACGGCGGGTCCCCAGAGAGTGCGTGCGTCTGCAGTGTCCCTGCCACTTACAGCTGGGGGCTCACGCCTGAGGACACGCTTCATCCTTGTGACTCGTCCGCCCGCCACATCGCCTGCCCCTCAGGAGCACCGGTGAGGGAGGGCAGGTGAGGACCCACCTCGAGCTCTGGCAGCTTGAGCCGGGGCTCAGGGCCGTTCTCCTCACTGGCTTCTTGCTGTCGGACGGGGTGGTGACTCAAAGGTGGCCGTCAGGTTACGCCTTCCTCCGGGGGCCTCTGTCACAAGCAGGTGCTGCAGGGGCCCCCGTGTCCGGGCATCTTCCCAGTTGTAGGTGAAGGGACACTAGGGGCACTCCCTGGGGCTCCCACTTCCCATGCGGTGGCCCGTCGGCCAGCCTCAACGCGTTCCTGCTGTGAAACACTTCAGAGCTGGGTCACACATCGGCCGAGCCCCGTGAAAGCTTGTCTGAACTCTCGAGGGGAAGGAAAACCCTGAGCAGGGGTGGGGAAGGTGGTCAGCGGCACCGGGCCGGGTGGGTGTCCGAGGCTGTGCACCGATGCGGTCCCTTCCGTCCCGGGGCATTGGGGTCCCCAGAACTCCAGAGCCCTGAGCGTCTCTGGCCCTCAGACTTCGTGTGATGCCAGATGATGGTGACTGTCCCCTGTTACTGAATCTCAGTGAGAATCAGCACAGGGACATTCACGGGCCTAAGACGGCACAGAGGCCGTTTTACGTCTACACCCTGACTCACTGCTGTTCGCTTCCTAATGGGCAGGGACAGCAGGTGGGCCGTGGCTCTGGTGCGGGAGTGGGTGGGGGGCTTGAAAGGGGTCCCCTGCATACGGGACCCCAAAGGACAGCCCTGGGCAGTGAGGGCTGGAGTGAATCCGAGGATCCCTGCCCGCTGGCCGCCAGAGCTCGGATGGGGGTCCCAGGCGACTGGTGACGGGAGGCGATGCCCCTTCCACTCAGGCAATGCCCGCAGGTAACGCCCAGCAAACGTGGGCTCAGAACCGCCGCCCACCTTCGAGGGAGCCGGGCTGTGGCGCATGGGCAGGGGCCAGAGGGCTAGTGCCGCGGGGTCAGAGCCCTCAGCCCTCGGTGCCAGCTGCTGGGACGGCCTCATGGGTGCGACAGGGGCACCTGGGGCGCGTCGGGGGCACGCAGGGCACGGACTGAGCCAGAGGCCATCCGGACAGACTTGGAAAGGAGCCAGATGGAGTTTCCAGGAATGAAGGCTGTATCACTTGGACGAGTTAGACACCGATGAAGGGACTCCTACCCTATAGCTGGACACCAGCAGGCTCCTTGGATGGCACGGGACAAGGGGGCCGAGGTGGAGGAGGCCCCACAGCAGGATGAGACTCGTGTGTCCGACACAGCCGAGCAGAGCCCCGAGGGCGAAACCTGGGGTCCCTGCACACTGGTGGGATCGACACACTCTCGGATTCCACAGGTCCGAAGACAGGACAGCCAGACCGACGGGTGACTGCTCCCCGCTTCGGAGGCCAGAGGACGGAGCACAGGGCGTCCACGTGCCAAAGCCGCGGGGGACCCCTGGGTGAAGAGGGCGTCTCAGGCAGACCCGCGGGGGCTCCTACCAGCAAGGTCCTGTCCTTGGCAGAGGACGTCCTGAGGCAGGACGAGGGGTCTCAGGAGGGCGGCCCAGAGGAGGCAGGTGAGCCGGCAGGAGCCCGGCCGCCGCGTGGCTTGTCGCACAGGGCAGACCACAAGGCCAACGTGCGAAGCTAGAAACGCGCGAGTCCCCACACGACTGGAACCCTGGGGGGGAGCGGTGCGTCGGCCAGTCGGGCCCAGAGAGATAGCGCTCGGGGCTCCCGGGCCACACGCTCAGCAGGGTGCAGACTCTGACGAGCTCCGGACACACGGAAGCACACATTTCGTTTCCAGGGTAGTCTCTGAAAAACCTAAAAATAGACTTGATAATAACTTCCAAATGAGTAGAGGCGGGAAACAGAATTTAAGAAGTAAACAAATCCAGAAGATGTGTTTGCTCGCTTGGTGGGAAGGGAGAGTCTGTCCTAGCCGCTCTCCTTGGCTGGTGGAGGGCTGCCGTCCCCCTGTGTCCCCACACCGTCTTCCCCACCCGCGTCCCTGTGTGCGAATGTGCCCACGTAAGAAGAACACGGTCCCAAGGGATTAGGGCCCACCCAAATGGCCTCATCTGAACCCGGCCGCCTCTGCAAAGACCGGCCCCAAATACGGTCATGTTCTAAGGTGCTGGGGTCAGGGGTCCCCCACGTCTTTTTGCGGGGGGGGGGACACAGTTCAACCCATAACAAAAGACAAAAGGGGAATAAAAGCAAACAGAAAAGCAGACAAAGGAGCACAAAGTAAGGTGGAGAAAAGCAACAAAATCATATCAGTGATGTCAAGAGTATAAACGGATTGCAATCGGTAACCGAGAGGCAGCGAGCGTCAGATTTCTAACTCCAGTCGGAAGCGTCACATCCAAACCATAAGGATGCAGACAGGCTGGAAGTAGGGGTGGGGAAAAAAATACCAATGACTACTCATCGAGAGAGAGCCACTCTTTTTATATTAAGTACTAAACAAAGACTTAGTATTAAAAGCATTATTAGAAATTACACTGCCTTCCTGTGGTTGTGTTACAAATGACTACAAACACAGAGGCTTATAAATGCCCATCTTCATTGTTCGGGGGATGAGAGGTGAGAAATGGGCTAAAACCAGGGTGTCACAGCCGCGTTCCTCCTGGAGACTCAGGGAGAAGCCGTTTCCCTGCGTGTCCGGCCTCCAGAAGCTGCCCGCATCCCTGGGCTGGCAGCCCCTTCCTCCCTCTTCAGAAGGGCCGGTGGCCCCCACGTCCCCACATTCCGGGACCCTGTGACAGCACCGAGCCTGCCCCGGCAATCTACGGCAGCCTCCCTCTTTTCCTAGTGTCAGGCAATTCACAAACCCAATTCCATTTGCAACTCCTTTTGCCACGGAACCAGAGTTGCACATGAGCCAATCAAGCCGCTAGACTCACAGGTTCTGGGATCAGGATGTGCACATCTTTGGGGGGGGGGCGTTATTCCGCCGACCCCAGAGATAAAGAGACCATGACATAATAGTACAGAGGTCAATTCATCAGGAAATCAGAACCGTTTTTAACTCACACGCACCAATTAACAACGGCTTAAAACACATAAAGCAAACCTTGAGAGAACTACAAGAAGTACACAAATCCCCCATCACGACAGGGGGGGTTAATCACTTTTCTCCATAACTGACGGTTGAAGCAGGCAAGATGGTGCTGTGCACGAGCCGGGGTCAGGGATGGGGGTCAAAGCATGAAAGCTGCTATAGAAGGGCGGTGGGGGGGGGGCACCCCGACTCTATTGAAAATGTGCACAGAAGAACACTCACTCAACAATTAAAGAATACACTCTGGGGGTGCCTAGGTGGCTCAGTTGGTTAAGCGCCCGACTTTGCTCGGGTCATGATCTAGCGGTTCGTGAGTTCAAGTCCCGCGTCGGGCTGTGCTGACGGCTCGGAGCCTGGAGCTGCTTCGGATTCTGTGTCTCCCTCTCTCTCTGCCCCTGCCCTGCTCACATTCTGTCTCTCTCTGTCTCAAAAATAAACACTAAAAAAAAAAAAAAAAAAGAATACACTCTGTTTTCTGGCACACAAGCAACCCTTTGAGAACTGACCTCCGTGAGTTACGAGGACTCGGCGTCGCACAGCCCATGGGCTGTGACGCCGCCAGGCTGGAGCCCAAAAATCTGACAGGCATTTGGAGAACCCTTAAACGCCTGGTGCCTCTGGTCTGGAGCGAGCACGAGTCGTATGTTCTCTTGGTTCCCAGGCGCTCCCATCCTCACGCTTGTCTCTGTCCCACAGGGAACGACACCCTAGTAAGCGGCCCTGTCTCAGCGACCCCGTTTCCCGGCACGGGCCCCTGTAACGTGTCCTTCGAGGACAGCAGAGTGGTCCTGGTGGTGGCGTACAGCCTCGTGTGCCTGCTGGGCTTCCCGGCCAACTGCCTGACGGCGTGGCTGACGCTGCTGCAGGCGCGGCAGGGCAACGTGCTGGCGGTCTACCTGTTCTGCCTGGCACTGTGCGAGCTGCTCTACATCGGCACCCTGCCCCTCTGGGTCGTCTACATCCGGAACCAGCACCGCTGGACCCTGGGCCCGTGGGCCTGCAAGGTGACGGCCTACATCTTCTTCTGCAACCTGTACGTCAGCATCCTCTTCCTGTGCTGCGTCTCCTGCGACCGCTTCGCGGCGGTGGTGTATGCCCTGGAGACCCGAGGCCGCCGCCACCAGAGGACTGCCTTCCTCATCTCGGCGTCCGTCTTCCTCGTCGTCGGCCTCATCCACTACCCGGTGTTTGAGATGGAAGACAGGGACACCTGCTTCGAGACGCTGCCCACCAACACCAGGGTCGCCAGCTACTGCTACTCCCGCTTCGCCGTGGGGTTCGCCGTCCCTCTCTCCGTCATCGCGTTCACCAACCAGCGGATCTTCAGGAGCATCAAGCTGAGCACGGGCCTGAGCGCCACCCAGAAGGCCAAGGCGAAGCGCCTGGCCATCGCGGTGGTGCTCATCTTCCTGGTCTGCTTTGCGCCCTACCACCTGGTGCTCCTCGTCAAGGCCGTCGCCTTTTCCTACTACAAGGGAGACCCGGGCTCCATGTGCGCCTTCGAAGCCAACCTGTACACGACCTCCGCGGTGTTCCTGTGCCTGTCCACGGCCAACGGCGTGGCCGACCCCATCATCTACGTGCTGGCCACGGGCCACTCGTGGCAAGAGGTGTCCAGGATCCACAGGGAATGGAGGAAGTGCTCCGCGAGGACAGATGTTGTCAAGCTCACGTGTTCCAAGGACTCAGAGGAGGCGCCCCTGCCCACGACGCTCACTAACGGCCACACGATCCCCAGGATCGTCGAGCCCCCGGAGCCACAGCCGCGTGCGTGGGGCTCACCGTGCACCTTGGAGAGGCCGGGCGAAGAGTCTTGTTGAGCCCACGTAGAAGCCCAGGAGAGGTGGTGTGGTTTCCCGTCCACTGAGCTTGCCAATGAGTGCCCGCGGCGCTGGCCGAGAAGCCCCCCTCTGGGAAACCTGCCAGGATCTCTCATTCCTGGAGCCACGCTCTCCGTCGGCCCATCAGGGTCCCGGCCCCCCCGGCTCCCCCCGCCCGGGCCGACACAGGAGGCGGCTCGCCCAGGCAGCGCGCGGCTGGCAGGCCGGCCTCTTCGTCCGCACACATCCCGGCCGGCTCACCCGGCCACTAGCGAACAGCAGGGCTGTGGGCAGGGGCCGCGCGCCTGCCCGGTGTGGCCCTGCACGGTGCCCGGTCCCGCGCAGTGGTGACTTTATTTCCCGTGCTTTTCTGCAAGCAGTGCTTGGATGACCGGATAGTACGGCAGGGGATCTTTGTGCTCCGTCTCAGGATGCCCTTCCCGCAGGGCCAGCTCGCTGTGGGACAGCCAAGGCCGACGAGGGGGCAGGAGCCCAGGCCGGAGGGCCCTCGGCCGGGCCGGCTCTGTGCCACGCAGGTGTGAGGTCGCGGGCTGCCGGGGACTCCTCGGGGAAGCCGTGGGCTGGGGCACCAACTGCTCTGACTTCAGCAGGGCAGCCGACGGGCCTCCTGTAGGGTGGCCCAGGTCGAGGGTGCCGGTGGACACCCGGGAAGGGTCAGACGCTCAGCTAAAGAGGCCCGGAGAACGGCTGGGATTCATTCCTTCATGTCAAGGCTTCCCGGCCTCAATGCCAGGGGAGAGGCCGCCGAGGGCTTGCAACGGGGGGGCTCAGGAGTGAGCAGGTGACGGCCCCAGGCCTCCAGCCCCTCCACCAGGTGCGGATGGAGTGTGGGTGGAGCATGGAACCTGGTCGGCCATGGGGCCCGAAAGTGGGCTCCCTGAAGACGCACAGCGTCGGGTCACGTCCGGGCTCGTCTAGGCCAGGTCACGTTGCTGCCTCGGTTTCCCTATCTGTAACAAGGCCGACGACACCTACCGCACGCTGACCCACTACCTGTCCTTCGGGCACTTCACACACACCTGCAGCTCACGCCTGAAACAGGAGCCCGGCGGGCTGTGCGCCCAGCGTGGGGGCCTGGGCACCCCGGGTCCCCCCGAGCTGTGCCGGGCCGTCGTGTTACATTGTGCTCTCGTTTCTGTAAGGCAGCGGTCACTGTCCGCGGTGGTTCTTTGTAGTGAGAGCCATCGAAAAGATACACTTGGAAATAAAAATGCGAAAATACACGCCAGTCTCAGGTGCCTTCCTAACGAAATAATGCCACCCTCCCCTTTTCAGGGACGTGTTTTCCTCTAGGGCTGTCTGGGGGCACCAAGCCCGTGGGAGGGGTATGTGCCCAGGCTCTGGGGTGACGGCTGTGGCTTCAGGGCACAGTCCGGAACGCTCAGCACTGGGGACGGAGCCCGGTGTCCCTGGACGGGGCGCTGGGGACGGAGCCCGGAGCCCGCGGACAGGCCCACAAGGCGTCCATGCTGAGCCCGCGCCGTCCTGCCGGGGACCATAACCACTCGGCGCAGACTGAGCAGCTTAGCACCAAACTTGTTCTCTCTGGCCGCCGTCGCGGGGGCTGGCCGTCCAAGGTCAAGGTGTCTGCAGGGTGGGCTCCTTCTGGGGGCTCTGGGGGGGATCCCTTCCAGACTCTTCTCCCAGCTGTGGGCGGTGCCCGCCATCCCCGGCCCGACCCCCGCGTCGGCCTCCGTGTCCGCGCCCTTCTCCTCTGGGACTCTCCGCCTCTCCTCCCTGTCCCAGGGCCACGTGCTGGGCTCCAGTGGCCGCGGGGCACGGGCGCAGGGGCGCTGGGTTCACAGCTGTCCCGGCCCAGCGTGCTCCGCTTCCTGTCCTTCGTCCTCGGGGAGCTCAGAAACTGCACCCCCTCCCCGTGGGCACCAGGGTGACCAGGCTGCCCGAGGGCCCCCGGCCGGAGCTGCTTTGGCGGGGGGCGGGGGGCGGGGGGCGGGGGGGCTTCCGGGTCTTTCCACACCTCAGCATGAGAGGCAGCGTGGTCCCGGTGCCTCAGTACCACCCCAGGAGCGCGTCCCGGACAGGAGAGAAGGAACAGACGGTTGGCTTTCACCGGCACGTGGGTCTGAGCTCTGTGCTAGGGGCTCTGTGGGGGGTGTCTCCCCTTGTCACCATAGGTCGCTGACGGGCTGGGGGGGGGGGGGGGGGGGGGGGCCGGCCCCCGGGGGGGGCGGGGCCTCATGCACGAGGTAGAGCGGCTGGAGCCGGGGTGGGCCGGGGTCTCGGGCCGGGGGTGTGACCTGCAGGGTCCCCTTCCCTGGGGGTCTCAGAGGGTGTCTGCAGTGACAGCATGGGGACCCATGAGATTAGAAAATGAATATGGGGAGAGACGGTGACCACTGGGGCCAAGGAGAAGCTCTGTGCTGAAGGCCCGACCAGCTCGGTGTCCACACTAAGACACTACTCAATCCACACCCCGCAGTGTTAGCTGAGGGGCTGCTGGGGGGGCCCAGGTGGGAGGGGCTGGGCTCTGGCCACGTGCCAGCTCCGGTGTGGGCGCAGGAGCACCCGGGGAGCAAGGCCAGCCCTGCCCTTGAGTGTGAGATCTTGGGGGCAAGAGGCAGAGGGCACCAGGCCCGAATCCCAGCCGGACAGAGACAGCTGGGGACGTGGTGGGCACGGGCTGGCCTGGTCCGTCCCGTCCGCCTGGCCGTGCTCCCCTCCTTGAAGATTAGTGAGAGTGTCGTCCTCACTCGCTGACCGAAGACCTCTCGTGTTTTCATCTGACATGTGCTGCTTCCAGAAACTTCTCTGGTGAGCAGTGGGGCTGTGCTGGTGAGCAGACCAGATATCCAAACATGAGACCTTCACTCACCGCCCGCCATGCCCCCGCAGCTTCCCGACTCACCCTACCCCCCACTCCCCTCCGCCCTCCACCGCCTCGCCCCCCCACTTCCTCCCCCACTCGCCCCCCCAGTCCCTAACCCCCTCTCCCTCTCCCTCCCACCTCCCACTGCCTCACCCATTCACTCTGGGTCCCCCTCTCCCCTCTTCCATCTGTTCCCTCCACGAAATGCTCCCTTGGGCACCGGAGGGAGGAGAGACGCCGGCAGTGAGGTCCACCCTCACAGTCCCGAGGCCAGCGCCCCAGGTGGGAGCCCTGAGACCCCTGCAGGGTGGCGCCCCCCTCACCTGGAGCCCACCACCCTCACTCCTAGGCTCTTTCCCTCGAGCGTGTCCCCAGATGGGGCCACCCGCTGTTTGCTCACTGCGGCCTTCCCAGCTCCCTAGACACGGCCTGTGCCTGAGGAGTCCCCTCTTGTTCCTCGAGGGACAACGGGGGCCAGATGGCCACGTGTGTGGGCAAGCTCCGTGCCAGCTGGGGAGCCCACACAGAACCCTCACATAGGACCAACCTACCGGGCACCCTCTGTTCCTGCCCTGACAAATACACCAGCACGTCAGGTGCAGGTGGGGCCCCTCCTCAGCCCACCCCACCCTCCGGGCACTGCTGGTGGCTGTGGCCCACAGGTGCACACCCCGGGTGGACCCCGCAGGAGAGGCCGGAAGGGCGCAGCCGGGAGTTCCTGGCCCCTCGGTCCTCAGTCGGTCTAGAAGGGGTGGCATGTCCCCGACCCCGAAGCCTCTTGCCCTGGGAGGGGTGCATGCAGGCTCTCCTGAGTGGTGCACAGGGAGTAGGTGGGGCTGGCCGTGGGACATGGGCTCCTGAGGACAGCTCGCTTTGGCCAGGTCACTCCACCCTGTGTCTTCACTGGGCAAATGCCTGCAGGGCCGCTGGGGACATTAACTGAGATCATGTATGTCCCTGGCTTAAGCTGGCCTGACACAGGGTGTATGCTCTAAGTAGGTTAGACACTGCTCTTGGGGTCCTGGGAGGTGCCAAGTTCGCGGCGGCCCCTGCAGGTGCCGCGTGCGGGCACCAGGGGGCAGCACGGCCCCGTTGGCCCCGCTCTTGTTCTAAGGGAAGAAGGCGCAGGAGGCCACGGGACGGGGGCCGCGGAGCCCAGCCGCCTGGGCGGAGGGGGGTTGCTGACCCCGAAAGCCTCCTGCGCGCAGAGCTGGGCCTAAGGAGAGAAACGACCAGTGGCCTTGAGCCCTGGCGACGAACGACAGCCACGCCATCACTGACAGTGCCATCAGTCCCCAAGCCAGGGGCAGGGGTGGGGCTCAGGACTGGGGTCCGGGAGGGGCGCCCTCGCGGATCCGGGAGGGGGTGGAGGCCAGCGGGGCAGAGACTCGGCGCCAGGGCAGCGCGCGGCGGCAGCAAGTCCCCCCGGGAGGCACCGCCGCCCGCCCTGCGCCCCCTCCGCAAACTCCACCGGGACCACGGAAGCACACGGTAACGAGTGTTGGTGCACACGCGCAGAAGTCACAGCCCTGGCACACGGCCGGCAGGACGGAGAGGGGGCGGCTGCTCCCGGAAACAGCCTGGCGGCCCCCCAAACGGCTACTCAGGCGTCGCCCCCTGCCGGGCAGAACCACGCCTGGGGCCTCCCCGAGGCTGACGGCACCGTCCACACGGGGACGCGCACCCGGAGGTCCACGGGGCACACTCGCGATGGCCGGAGGGTGGAAACAGGCCAGCAAAATGCGGTCTATCCCCCGGTGGGACGTGGCTGAGCCCAGAAGAATGAAATACTGACACCGCGGACGAACCGGAGGGCAGCTCGGCCTTGGACGGACCCCGACGGCAGCTGGGCCACGGAGGGACCTCAAGAACAGCACGGAGAGACAGAAGCAGACACGAAAGGCCACGTGGAGTAGGATTCCACTTCTCTGAAATGTGCAGAATGGGAAAATCTGTGAGGACAGAGCAGGTTCAGAGTTGGGAGGGGCGGTGGGGGGTACAGCTGAAGGGGACAGGCTTCTTCCTGGGGGGCTGGTTGCACATACCTGTGACTGTGGCGAAACCACTGACCCGTACCCTCTGAGAGGTATGTTGTATGGTATGTGATTATGTCTCGATAAAGCAGTTTAAAAAAACAAAGACGCATCAGACTGTGGCCCCAAAGCCCCTGAAGGGACAGTCTGGGGCCACCATGGCTCAGAGGGGGGCGGGGGGGAGGCTGAGATCCTCGGCTGCCGTGGCAGGGAGAAACCCAGATGCACACCCCCCCCCCCCCCCCCGCCCAGTCCCGTGTGGTTTGAGGCAACCGGGCGGCAGAGGGGGCCTGGCAGCTCAGGACCTGCCTCCCAGCAGCCTCAGCCCCGAGCCGTCAGGTGGGAGGTCAGCAGGGCACCCGTTGTCCGTGCTGCTCAGGAGACAGTCCCCTCCCTGCATCATGGTCATTCCTGACCAGCCTGGGGGTGAGCAGCCCTGCCCTGTCTGTCCTTTTGCCCCTGGGTTTGGGCCCAGGGTGGGCTCTGATTTCTTAAATGTCAGCCTACATCCAAATCACTGAGGGGCCCTGTTAAACACAGAAGGGACCCAAGGGCACCTGGGTAGCTCAGTCGGTTGAGCGTCTGACTTCGGCTCAGGTCACGATCTCGCGGTCCATGAGTTCGAGCCCCGCGTCGGGCTCTGTGCTGACAGCTCAGAGTCTGGACCCTGCTTCGGACTCTGTGTCCCCCTCCCTCTCTGTTCCACCCCACTTGCAGTCTGTCTCTCTCTCAAAAATAAATAAAGATTAAGAAAAAAATTTTTTTAAATACAGAAGGGACCCAACCCCGTGGCTCCTGAGTCAGAGCGTTTGCATCAGGGAGACCCTGGCTCATGTCCACACCTAGAGAGCCTTTGAGTCTCAGCCCGATGCCATCAGAACGGCGCATATCCAATTTCGACCAGTGAGAGGTGGGCCTGGAACTCAGTTTGCCTCCTGGAGGAAAGGCTCTTTCCCTGGACCCGCTTCGAGGCCAGGTGCAAGGTCTGGAGCTGCGGCAGTCACTCTATGACTGTGGGCAAAGACATGGAACCAGAAAGCCCGTGCCAAGGGGAGGGCCTCCGTGTCCCGCACCTGCCATCGCACTCCTTGGCCGCGTCAGGGCCGGTGACGTCGTCCTGCAATACCCCCCTGCTCTGTGCCCGGGGCCTGCCCCCCTCAGAGGGCATGGCAGCCGCCCCACCCAAACCTCCTCTCCTTCTGCCCTCTCACACTGGCACCCGCCTCGGCTTCTCTGCGATTTCACAGGGATGCTATGTTCTTTCCTGTACTCTCACACCCACGTCTGCTCTTACAAATTGCCTGTGATACCTCCGTGCAGACGGCTGGGGTGTCACGGGCCCTGCTGACGCTGGTCCGCCCCC